GTAAAAGTTGTGCGAGTTCTTCGAATCGTCTTCCTTCGAACCTTTTGCTACTTCATCCAATATTTTGATCAGACTGTTCAACCGCTATTAAGCAAATATGTCGTCGGCACCACCAGTAATTTTAATAATTTTCTTTTTCGGTCCCTGGTTAATCTCAAGTGAATCGAATTTAATGCAAATTCGTAATATGAATGGTACTATTACTTTTAGAGAAACGCCTTTTATAGTAGAAAAGTACTGTCTCGTCTTTCCACCGACTTACTGCAAAGGTTATCCCATGCCCGACGGTGACAGATCTGACTTAGATATCTTTAGGGAGCAGTTTTGTCCGAAACTGAAAATGTTTACATGCGTGGAAGAGTTTGCTCGGCGTTGCACTCCTACGTTCAAAAAATACCAAGACTACATAACCATGTTTGTTGTAAAAGGTAGTAGGTATAAGAGCAAGGATCTATGCACAAGAGGTCCTTACAAAAAAGTGCATTTAGACCATGCCGAATGTTTACGTTTTGCAAAGTCTGTTTATGAAGATATGTGCCCAATCAATGATGAGCAGTTCTTGAATGACTTAGCCTTGGGCAAGTGAGTCATAATTTAATTTAGTTTATTTTAAATTTTTGCTTCGTATGATGAAATTTTCGTCATTCTATCTTGAGCGTTATGAATCAATAACTATTATTGACAAGTATTTATTTCGTTTTTCAGTTACAATTTTGATAAGTATTTATATTGCGTGCAACAAATTGTCCTTGCTTTGTGCGGTGAGGAAACTGAATCATTCCTCCTCGATTATTTGCTAGCAATGAACAGTACATTTGGTTATGTAAGTGTTAATAATTACTATTATAATTAATTTGTTACGACATATTATATAATGTCGTATTTCATTCATTAAAATTGAATATCTTTTTCGGGTATACACTTATGACTATTAATATCAATGTCAACATTTTAACTTACTGGTACAATATTATAAGTTGTTTACAGTTTACATTTGGAGGTGTTTAAATCAAACAAAATTCTTGAAAAAGATTTATATAAATTTAATTTATTTGATTTAATTTACCTGTATATAAATTAGAATTATATAAATCTAATTAAAAAAATATAATAAAACTAAAATAGGTTAAAATTTTATTCTGCCGATTTTGGATGTAGTAAAAATACCAAATCCTCGAAAATAAATTTTATTCCTATACGAGTTCATAAATAAAATTGTATGTACCTTAAGGAAACTAATCAACTTTTATATGTAAACTAGATGGCTTATAATGTTTATGATAGTCACACTACCACAATTAATTTAGTAAATTTTTACATAATTATGTATATTTGTTATTGTTTCAGAATCAAGTAGTACCTGAATTTGTGCCACCATACAAATACACCAAATACGTACCTTAATTAATGTCATCAATTTATACTAATCATTAATCTATTTTCTTATATTATTTTTATATTATAATTTTATTTTGATTTAATAATAATTACTAACAATGTAACTTAAAACTTTATTATGACAAACAATATAAGAATATTCATAACAATTTAAAAATTGAGTTTTATTTATTATAATTAATTCCTATGAAGTATATTCAGAAGATCCAACTAGGTAACACGTATAGAAATGGAATATCAGCTAACCAGAAACCGATAACTTTTACCCTGGTTGTTAAATATAACCCATAATAGTGAATAGTGTAAAAGTGATAGTATAATAAATTGCACCAATGGTAAATTATGGACGCGCTGGTTAGGTTGAAGATATTTATGTGAAATCTCTTATGAATATTAAATATCCTTAAGCAAGCGAAGACCTTAATTTACATTTTTCTAATAATAAACATGAATAAATTATGTCTTGGTAAAATACTTCAAGTTTAGAAACTATTAATCATGTAAATAATTTAAGATTAACAAAAAATAGGTTAACAATGCCTGAGCACTAATCTTTTATCATAACATAAGCGTCTTGTTCTTTTAGGGAGGCAAAATTAATTTAAAAAATAAATGAAGATATTTTTATACATTTTATACTTACATTAAAATTTTTCATCAAATATAAGATTAGATACGATAAGATACAATAATCCAATTATTATCAAAGATAGTTTTTTTCTATACATAATGTATATGTTATATTAAAGTAATCTATGTTTACTAAATGTATTATATTATATACTATAGATAATGCTTTGGAAAAGAAATTTAAAACTCTAGGAAGAGGGGGGGGGAATGTCCCGTCTTGCCACCCATGGGGACGTCGATGAACACAAGTATTATATTATATAATTAACTTATACGTATCACAATATCAATACAGAGGCGTCATTTCAGTTTTTTTTCTGGGTGTTAAAAATTATAGGCTGGCTTATTTTAACACTTAATTAAGTAATATTGTACCAGGCCGTTAAAAATAATGTAATTATATTTGTGTTATATTAATATTATACAAATATATGTATATTATCTCCTTATCTATTACAATCCTAATTAAAATTACATTGTGCTTTTCAAATAGCTAGAAATTCAATGTATTAAATGTTTATAAGCAGCTATAGCAACCAACTAAAACCATTTTTATACTATTTAAAGAAAAAAGGCAAAGGGGTGTAAAGAAATTCCCTTAAATTCCAAAATTAAACACTACTATTCATACAAAACATCACATTTTTATTTTATAATTTTAATTAGTGGATGGATATCTACGAGTTCTAATGTATGCGAATACGTTTATTATAACGGCGCATAGGAGTATATTAATAGATGGTCAATTATTAAGAAGTAAGTATATATGTATATAAACCGTACAAATTAACACCTTTAAATGTTTTTAAAATTATTTTTATTTCAATGATCAATTTTTAAATAACTTAATACCAAGAGAATATACACAAAATACTCATAATAGTATAATGTAATTATCTATGTGAAACGAATGGTTAAGTACTTAAGTTACTATTATATTAAATTATTAAGAATATTGTATAGCTAAGCATCTGAGTTAACCGTATCTTTTGTCGGTTCAAAATAATTGATTGCTTCGTTACAGCAGCATAATGTGCTCCGTAACGTCATAGTGTCAAACAACTCTAAAACGAAAAGATACAAAATAAAAAATATACATAACTTTACTGTTATTTCATAATATGAAGAATATTAGTTCATTGTGACATCTTAAAACGATCCACTTTGTTGTGATCAGAATTATTTTTCAACCGTTAATTATTTTTTTCACGAATCATGTAGTTTTAAATTATAAAATAATTGTTTTGATTTCTAGTACCTATATCAAACATTTATAAGAAACAAAGTTGTTTTTGCATATACAAACAACTATTTTAATTTCTAAGCAGATTAAATCCATTTAAGCGATCATTTATCGGAATTATATTTTTGTTAATGAGACTGTTAATATCATTTTATAACAGGTAATCGTAATGAAGGTATGTATAATATACAACATATTATGTGTACGTAAATGTGCAGTTTTTCTTTATTTCTCGTTTTTTTTTATTTTTTTATCACACATTCATTTGGATACGAATTGATATCACGAAATTATTATATGGATGAACAACTGCTATTCATATAACCGTAGTATTGGCAAGTTTACAATAGTAAATAGTATATCTATACACATTGTGATAGTCATACATTTGTATATTTCATTGTACATAGTGTCACGTATCACGTCCTCTTTATCATAACTTCGGATAACCCGCAGTGATTATACTACCAGATTAAACCGATCGACCCTTGCAGAGAAATTCGGACTTGGTCGTTGTGTCATTGCGTCAGAGACTGCCCGAGGATTCCGATCAGTCACTATTCCGCTCAACTAATTAAAATCATCTCCGAGTTCTGTCACTGCACTTTCTTACACATATATCGCACTACTTGGATCATTTTCGTTTTCGTATATATAGCATACGTTTCTTGTGTATGTGAGTGTTATTTTGTCGGTATTCTCGAATATCTGCCATAATAATAGTAAATTGCCGGTAAGATATATAATATTTCAATATCGCTAGAAGTCAGTATTTTATCATTATTTGTAATACATAATTTTGGCCGGGTACCTACTAAAATCATTGTACGATTTCAATATTCACAAAATTATATAATATTGAGTTCATTATATATTTGATGTTATACATTTCATTTAAATCGTATACATAAATTATTAAAAAAAAAAAAAAAAAATATAAATATTTATACAATAATTATTATTTTCCTTATTCGCGACATGGTCGAATAACATCGAAAATAAATATCAAATAATTTAAACTTATTATTTGCGCTTTACTATAATGATTATAAGTTACCAAATTCATAAAATATTATTTACAAATGTCTAACACAAACAATTCTAATCGCATTAAGCCACTGTTCAAAAAATTAGATAATTTATTATTATTTATTGTTATTATTATTATTATTATTATTAATTAGTTATTTAGAAAAATTAAATAATCCGGTCATTAAATTTTTTTTTTTCATTTTTTTCTAGAGTAGGTTATGTTCTTATTAAATAGCTAACTTGACGGGTCAATTTTTCAAAGTGTTGATAAACGCGAGGCGAGAGGGACGTCAAACTAGTCAAAAAAATGTGATTTGTACTTTGTACATAAGTACCCATTTAGTACACGTCTTATTTTTCCGATTTACAACATGTTAATCACTTTATAAAAGATATATTTGTATTTTGACGATCTGCCGATTTTGAAATAGCTCAATTTTAGACTGTGACAAATGCATGAGTAACCTCCTTCGCCACATTATGCCACTGATGCTTAACATAATAATTTTCCCATTACTTTTTTGGTTCAAATTTCTTTGGTTGCTTAAATCAAAAGAATATTTTATGTATTGAACAATCAATTACATATCATATGTTAACAAGCATCCTTTATTTTATATATTTTTTTTACTCTAATTTATTTTAATAGAAAAAGTGAGTAATTAAAAATAAATTATATAGAGTTTTATTTTTCGACTATGTATTATTTGTCTTAAATATTTTAAATATCAGTTAATATAAGTACATAATAATAAGTAAATATTCTATGATTGGTAAATAATTGGTTAATTGGTTATTTATTAGTTTGTACTAAAATATATTTTAATATTTATTACAGATATGTTGATGTGGTTAATTATTGCAATTTTTACAATTGGTAAGTATGTAAATATTAAATACAATGCTATTTATTATATTATCTTATAATAATATTCAATATTTGATACATTATTTGCAAATAAAAGTAATCTTATAAATATTTTGTAGAAATTATAATGAAATAACTATAATAAGTATAATTAACTATTAACAATAAAATAATATAAAATTTAATTAAAAGTAAAAATTAGTATATGATTAATACTCGTAAATTAACATATAAATAAATATTCAAATAGTTTATACTAGTGTTGAAACATATATTCGGTTTTCTTAAATATTCGGATTTTAAATTATAAATTTCTTTTTTGAAACCCAAAAACAATTTTCAATTTCTTTTTTCTAGAGTAGACTTAATGGATTGGTTATGATGTCCGTTTATAGAAAAGATTCTCTCTTACCAAAAGACATTTTAGAAAAATTTATCATCAAGTATATGTAAAGTTAATATAACTTATGAAAAAGTTATAAAAATTACTTCTTTATACTCAATGAATCATCAGTGATGATGAACTATTAATCCGAAACCAGTAATAATTTACAAACATAATAATATTCCAGGCTAAAAACTTATTTATTTCTAAACATAAAATATTTATTTAGTTTTTTATGTAATATCTATAATCTTTAAATTATACAAAATTTTTTTTATACATTTTAATATTCATGTTTGTGTAAATTTTTTTTATTTTAAGTGTGTAACTATAGTAATTTTAAATATTTATATTGAGCTTTAATTTCAATAGAAGCATTCGTTTACAATTTTGTCGTGTTAAAAATTAAACTAATAGCAAATATACTTCACTATTTAAATTAGTTTAAAATTAAAGACTAACAGTAATAATACTTAAACGTACCTGCATAGTAACTGAATATAGAACTAGTATAAACTATTTTATCTACACAATATATCGACGTTTTAATCATTAGGAAAAGGAAGATAAATGTTTAACAGTATGCTGTATGAAATCCTTAACGGCTAGAAATTATAAACTTAAAAACTCTATGTCGTTATGAAATTTATATATTTTTTTTTAATTTAAGCTACAGCAATAAACATGGGTATACAGATATTTTACTTATAAATATAAATAATATGAGTTATAATACACTGATGTGACTTTGTGTAGTTTAATTTATAAAAAAAATTTACAGGATATGTTATCATAGCAAATTAAAATGCCATTTAAAGGATACTTGTCATTATTATTTGGCAATAATTGGTTAACTTTGTAGAACTAATAAATTCTTGAGTTTATTTTCAATTGAATGTATTTTTAAGATATACTCACATGAAAAAAATACTGCAATTTTAATAGTATGATTAGATAAGATTAAATGATAAAAACGTAAATCATATTCATTGATATAAAATATAAAATTGAATGAATAAAATTAAATCATTCATGATTCGAAAAAGATGAACGTGTTATAATGCCATTTAAAAAAATTGTGATTCATATCATAAAAGAGAAAAATATAACTTATCGTGATTAGTTTTTGAAGTTATTTATTTCCGTAACGAATAACATTTTTATCTCCACAAAGATATTCCAATATTCCTATGTTTCATATAAATATTGTATAGTTGCAGTCTTTAATCTTCTTTAAAATTTTAATTGTTATATATTTTTTATTTATAGTATAATATGACTACTACATTGTTCTGTATAAGTTTAAGGATATTAATAGAATATTACGGAGGAGTGATAATAGAAAATAGTACATTTTTTTTTGTTCATCAGTTTAATAATGAATGATTTCGCTTAGGCTAATCTCTAGTTATAGACCTGTTGTATTAACACCAATACAAATGAATAAACGGAATCTTCTAATGAATCTAAAAATGTCAATCAATATTCAAAAACTCAACCACAATAGGTTCCATTCAACGATCAAATTATAAACAGATGTCTAAAAAATATTTAATTTCGTATGATACAGTCAAGGTCACCAAAGTTCCTTATAATTTATATTATTATGTTCATCGATTGTTAGTAAAGTAAAAATAGTTGTGGTAAAATTGAAATTTTGATCTATTACGTTCTGGTAAAAATGTTTGTTGACGAATACGATGCATTTATAATTACATTACATTATATTATTTAGTTAACACCACTATCATAATTGTCAATTAATTTATTTTTTTCATCTACCCATAGGAAACTTTGTAATTCCAATTGAATCAAGTCTATCATTCCTGGAGGAACATTCAATAGTTATATCATCGTCAGACAAGTTCTGTCTCGAATTTCCTCCTTCTTGCTCCAGGATTGAACTAAATAAAGACTTATCTGACGTTGAAATATTCCAAGAAGTATTTTGCCCATCGTAAGTACAACACTATCATAACATTCAAATATCATCATATGACGTATTTAATAAGAATAAAAATTTAAAAAAAAAACTTACATTTTTGATTAATTATTGTTTTTTATGGAACCAAGAAAAAACGGTGTAAAAACAAATTACACGTAAACAATTTTGGTGGATATACCATAAAATAATGAAATAATTGAATCAGACATATTAAGCCTATATTTTTGGTTATTGCATATGGTAATTTTACGTTAATGTTTTTTCGTTTTGTCAAATACAGTAAAGCAAGATTTCGGTGTCTAGAAGAATTTGGTCGGCGTTGCATTTCTACGAACATACAATATTACGATTTCTTAATGAAAGTTGTGGATAAGAATCGCTCTATGATCCACAAACTTCAACTTTGCTCTGACGGACCTTACAAGAAAGGTGAAACTCACTTTTATCAGTATAAAATATGTCTAGGGAAATTACATACAATTTACTCTCGTTTTTTGGTCTTTAAAATATACAGAACATTTGGAACACGCTCATTGCTTAGTATCCATGTTTCTATCCAGTAGTAGCATACCACTCTGCGCATCGGTAGAAGACTATAAACATAGACACCATATGGGGTGAGTTTTAGTTCATATTTTATTTCATTGCACCTTGCCATATTTAGCGGCAGCGTTATCTTTAGCACACAATAATTATCTGTCTACATAAATCATTAACTGACATCTTTTTACGATTTATAACAGCGCCAAAGAATCTGAGTGCATACTTAACGCCGTTGGGAAGCACTGTGGTAGGCGAACAGAAATGTTTTTCGACCTATACATACTTAAAAATCCAGGCCGTATATATTGTAAGTATTAATAATTATTGCCACAAATAAAATAAAATATTATCGTTCAAATATAATAATATAATAATTCGTAATAATTTACGTTGTTAAATCATTATGTACATACCTATGTTCCACATTGATTTTTTATTAAGTACTACCTACTACTTGTGCTTCTTTTTATAATTCATAAGATCGTAAATCTAGGTCTCAAGACAATGAGATATGAAGTGAAAAATAAATATAGTAGTAGCAAATTTAAATATCATACTTATAAGTTATAATGTAATGATTCAATATTTTTACGGATTGATGACCTACGATTATCCATTTGAATATCCGATTGGATATCACATTTTACCGGTTTAATTTATCTGTAGTTAGATAATAACTCGCTCTTTACAAAATCTCTTCTGATCAAATACTTATTAATAGTAGAATTTTTAATGTTTCAGGATAAAACAAATAAACAACTAGTGTCCGAGTTAACATTTCAATTAGACCAGACGAAAGGATTTATAGAAAACTCCAACTCAAAATATACATTACTTACTCATATAATAATTTGTTTTCATATTATCATATTATTAATATTTTATAAAATATTTTTTTTTATATATATATACATAAATATGTGTTTAATAATATATTTACTTAGTACTTGCATTGTAGTTAAATAAATAATAATAAATATTTTGAGTGTTTTTAATAAGATAAACATAATCTAATGGTGAGTGATGTTCGGGGTACGACAGCGGCTGGCGGCGGCTAAATGGTAATGTGTGGTCGTCCAAACGTCCCCTTCCATGTCGCTGTTTTGTGCCGCCACACCGTGCCACAGTGTTCATACCAAACCGATATCGAGTACACGGAAAATTTAATACTTCAAATAACTAACCATTGATTTTATAATATACTATTATTAAAATATAGTTTATAAGAAAATCAACGCTTAAACTAATTAATTACATTTTTGAACTTTTCTTATTGCATAGCTTATCTGTATACAAATTACTCGCGTTTAAAAAAAAATTATGGAAATCAATCCAGTAGAACCTTATATATAAATGTCATAAAAATTGCCTCTCCATTTTATAATATAATAGTTATCGAGCGTCACGCAAAAAAGATAATGTTCGAAAATGTTCACTGCCCGAGTTGAAAGATTTGAACGCCGTATAAGATATTTTCACGTCAATAAAAATACTATTATACTTTTTATAAAACAGTGCTCCCAACTTCTTTGTGAAAGTAATGCTTATAATAAAGGATAAACATCATACCTATATGTTATTAAGTTCAAAATGTTCACGCAAAAAGGGCGGCGAAAATTTTAAGTCGGCTGAGACTTCACGGTCGAGAGTGATAGGAATTGTTGTATGGTACTGCTGTATTCGTCGTATAAACTTTTGTAACCATTATAAATAATTTTTGCGATTTACCGATAGTATTTAATCTTAAATAATATAACCAACACGATACACATTATATTTTATTTTTATATGAAATTAATAATCGCGTATATCCATACGCGATGTAGAATTCCAAGTTATTTCCAAGTTAATTCCATGTTAGAATTCCAAGAGAATTCCAATTCATCCAAGAATAAAATTATTTCGTGTATTGATCCGGAAATGGTTGTTGGCTCTGTTATACCTAGACCATTCAGGCAATATCTAAACAATGGGTAATCGAATAATAAAATACGTTTGATTATGATGACAAAATATATTTTAGTATGGGCGACATAGAAAAAATAAAAGTGCAGCGTATTTGGATGCGATATTTAGTTTAAGTACACGGACTTAGACAACGTGTTTCATCTATAAATTATTCAATCTAGCTATTTGTTTATATTCTACAACTACAGAATTTACTGAATTAACATCGTTTTGCTATTTTATAATAATACTATAATAATGCCATTCCGATATTATACAAATTAATGAAATATAAGACTATAGTAATAGGATCAAACTATGAGTGTAATATTAATTTAATATTAATAAATAATAAAATATAATCCTTACACAATTGTACAAGTAGAGTGTATCAACTTCGCAATATAAAACGAACAAATGTTTCGCAAATATTTTTAAAGTATTTGGGTGGTCTCTAATCGAATGATGTCAGTATTCATTCTTTGGCATTTTAAACCGCTTTAGTTAAGAATATTGTCATGTAAAATAATAGTGATTTATGTTAAGGTCTCTTGTAGTTAAATATTATGTTATATCTATTATATAGTGTTCATTGTGATCATAATGTACATAATAAACCATGTTAACGGTGTTTACGAATAAATTCACTACTTACTTCACGTATTCATTTTAATGATGATTCTGATTTAATGCAATAAAATATTTTAATAGTTATTAATTATAAGTCAAAAAATGTTATTTTATCTAAATTTATCAATGAAGTTTTAAAATAAAATTTCAAACAAAAGAGATTATGGTTGCCTTTAAAAAAAATATAAATAAATATATTGATTCTTCCGCTACCCTATATTATACTATATATAATTTAGAATATATGGTAGTTTTTTCACCATATGTTTCCCATACCTCATCAAAAATAAAATGTATGTTTTTATTCTCAGGGATCGTAGGCCCTTCCATTTAGGGTCGTCCATTATATTACAATACGGTGCAGCTGCAACCATGATTACATCGGTTTCCCCAACCTATTTAGTACCCATAACTATAAATATAAGCACACCAGATCAAATCTTTATAACCAAAATTCAGTCGAACCTCAGATGCCAAACAAGTCCTGCGTATCCTAGTGCTCCTCGTCTTCCGCTGCATCATTTAATTTACTGAAAATTATTTTAAATCGAATTTGCAACGCGCAAAATTATCGGTAAGATATATTTTAATCCTTATATTTCATAGAGAATACGTATTTTTACCAGTTATTGTGATTTAAAATACTAAATGCTATTTATCATCTTAATTAATAATATTAAAAATTACTATCAACTTGAATTAAAATTAAAATCATATATCTATATAATACTTTTATGTTTAAAAAATAAAATAAAATAATTATTCCATTAAAAAATTATTCCTAAATATGTTTTAATGTTTTAATAAAAAAATTATACATAATAATTTTTAATTTTTATATTTACATCCGGGCTTTAATAAAATAAAAAAAATATGTAAATTACATTTTTTTTCTGTAATAATTGAATTGAGGTTTTCATAATATTACTAAGTAATTCGAATACATATTTACTTGTGTCATGAAAAAATAGGTACCTATTTAGATCTTTATTAGCCCATGGGGTTGAAAAATATATCAAATTATATTGTTTTAGTTAATAGTTAAAATATTAATATATAAGCACTTTAACTACAGCACATTCAATATTATAACTCTATTATATGGATAGTATTTTAATATTAAAAATATATAATAAATTTCAAAATATTGATGTGTAAAATTCTTATAATATGAGATAGATAGATAGATTAGACTCGTAGATAGTTAACATCTTACAGATACATCTCTACATATAAATTTGATTTTAATTGTTCTGTTAGAATTTAATAAAAAAAAAAAAATCAAATATTTAAAATCATCACTGATTAAGTGTTTTAATAAAATTATGTAAGTTATAACCTATAAGCAAATTTAAATAATATAATTTAATGTATCGTACCATGAATAAAAATGATTATTTTTAATATTTTTTTTTTGTTTTTTATTATAAAATTATGTATTTTAATTTTTATGTACTAAAAATGTGTAATTTATAATCATATTATTTTTAGCTCTCGAAACATAATTTATTTTAGTTAAAAACATTTAACTTTTCATTTTAAGATAATATTTATGAAATTATAAAATCTAAAGTTTTGATTCTAAGAGTTTTAATTTAAACATTAAATCGTGAATAGTACAACATCTCAAAAAATTACAAAATACGACATATGTTATTTTCTAATTAAAAAGTGTTTTGTCATTCCTCCCTATAATGATTCAATTTAACAATGAACAGTTTGAACAAACGTTAAGTTTATTTTTCATAATTACTTGCTTAAATTACACACAGGAATTCGTTGATATACTTTGAACAAAATTTTTATTTTACTATCGAATACCAGGACACAGAAGTGATATTGTTTTTTCGGTGGAAATCGTGATTAGAATAATCGTCATATTTTGATAAGTTTTATACATTGTACATGATAAAGGAAAATATTTATCTACTTCCTATAAGTATCGAATATCCGTCTCGTATCATACTATAAAATGGTAATATTTTCAACGCCGTGACTAATTTTCTGGTAGTCCTAGCCGCAAAATTCGTATAAATAAAATTATTATGCTAAAAAGTGTCTCAGAGTCCAATTAGTCTCTTGGCAGTCGTCTTCATTGCATATCGAAGATTCATCGTGCTTTCTTACTGTTATTTATTTTTTTAATTTTATAGCATCTTACATATTGACACTGCTATCAAACTAGGTAAGACAAAATATATAATTATTATATAACTATTATAATTTATTTTTTTAATACTGATTTTAAATTCTTATTTATCGTCTTCATAACTGTATACCTATATCCAAACTACTAAACCTAATAAAATAATATAATAACAAGCTGTAACAACACCAAAATTCTCTTTTATTCCATTTATCCTCACCCAAATCACCAATCAACTCTTCTCGTCATCTTAAAAAACATGGGTGTCGAGATTAATTAAACGAAACTAAACACATACATTTTTGCAGATAAACTTATTAATTATTAAGGGTTCTATCACCGGAAAGCCTTCCTCATCATACCATTTTGTCATTTACGAAAATTATTCAGTATAGATTTTTTTTCTCATTTGTTCATCGTGCTTAGTTAAATACAGACAAATACAATGTAAATTTTTTGAAAAAATAAATAGTATACATTGATTAATGTAAATGGTAGTAATTCTATCATTCATGCGATTGCATAAGTAGGTAATTTCAATGAGATACTCGTGATATTAAAAGTAATTTTGTTATGAATTATATTATATTAACGAGTACATATTTAATATTTAACCGAGATGTTTTTGTCTTTCTTTATAATATCTTTAATCTATAATGACTACATTTTTTTAACTTTCTATTTGTTGATAATGTTACTACTTTTGTAGTTAAAACCACAGAAAAAGATTTAAAGTAAAATACCTTATAACTGGTAAGTAACTTACAGGTCAAATTGTTCATTTTTGCGCGTAAAATTATTTAGGGATACATATACTTAATACTTCTCGGTCTTGTTTTTTCACTATCCTTCGACTAAAGATATATCCGATTTTTATAATTGTATTTTAGATATCGTCATTTATCATCAGTTATTTTTAATACTTGTAATACCAATCAGTGTTCGGAACGTTCACTTAAAATTGAACTCGTTCATGTTCATGTTCAATTTTTTAAAAAGTAAACATGTTCACGTTTAGTTCTATGAAAAAATAAAGCGTTTATTTGGGCGTTCATTTAAATTTTTTTATTTTATATTTATGAAATATCTACTTGCATTCTGTATAAATGGAATCCTAACAAAATGTATTAGGTATATTTTACTTTATGTTTTAAACTTATACTTGAACATATTATAATCAATATTTATTACTAATACATATATTTTAAAAATTTTAAATAAACTTGAATGCCTCAAAAATCGTTAAAATTCATAAAAAATATAAATGTCGTTTGCATTCACATTTTATTTGAAAAAAGCGAGAAACGTTCACATGTCACTATCAAAATATGAATGTGAACGCATGAACGTGCGTTCACGAAAGACGTTCTTTCCAAACACTGATACCAATTACGTAATAAAATGTTCTAAAATAAATCAAATTTTTAGTTCCTTTTAGTTTATAAGTCATAAGAATCATGTTTTGTAAGTATGCTGGTTTACTTAGTTTCAATATTTAACTTGTTACGTTTAAAGTAAAATTATATTTTATGTGAATAGACCTTCTAATTAAAATAAAATAATGACAATAGAAATATTTTGTTACGAAGTTTAAAGTTTAAGTTTAATAACGATACCTATTACATTAAAAATATTAATTATAAAGCAGTAATATTTTAAACGAGAAAAAGTGTCCAAATTAATTAAGTATTATTATTATTACATTAAATATTTGAAACCAAATGTAAATTACGTAAGGACATTTATTTTTAATTTTTACTTGAGTTTTGTTATATTTTGACTTTTCTTTATCTCTAGGATATATACATTTCTAAATAGATTCAGAAGTAAAATAGTTTGAAAAAAATATAACATAAAAATAATTAACATTTAAAATATATTAACTAGGTGATTCCCCTATGCTTTCTACGGCATGGTTTATTTTAGCTTAAACTCTGATAAAATATCAGTTGTTAATTACTTATATTTAAGTTGGTATTAAATTTAATGTTCATAAATAATTTACAGATATGTCGGCGTACTTGTTCATTACGATTTTCATAATCGGTGAGTATTGTATAATATATTATTATATTTATATTATTTTTTATTTACCTACATTATTTTTATTGAATTAAGGTATATTGTGTTATTATTTATTTAAAATCAAATATTTAATATCTACTTGTTATATAAATAGCAACTTTTTTCTCTAGCAAAAAAAAAACCTACATCAAACCATGTATCGAATATTTTAACTTTTTGTACTAAGTCTAAAACACTAAAATATTTAAAATATAAAATTCAATATACGCTGAGAACATTCAAAATAATGATTTTGAATGTTGGTGATCGCATATAATAATATTGTTAATGTGGTTAATGATCGAACATGACTACAAAACGAAATTTTTCTATTTAATATCAATTCGTTTTACAACCCAATAATAATATAAATATTACACTTATAAAAATATTAATCAAATTCCTGACTTCAATTTTAATTTTATATATTTTTTAAATATCCGTGTCAGAAATAATGCAATATCAACAGAATGATTAGATAAGATTAAATTATTAAATTGTGAATCATGTTCATTGATTTGAAACAAAAATTTAATGAATGAAGTAAGATTATTCATAATTGACAAGAACTGAACGTATTTTAATACCATGTTAGATTAATTGCAGATTTACATCGTATTCGGAGAATATAAAACCTATCGTGTTTGGTTTTTGGAACTTGTTTTTCGAATAAAAAAAAAAAACTGTTAGGAAAAATGATGTATTTATATTTATTGTTGATATCACAGTAGTAAATTAATATTTAATATTAATATTATTAATAATTATTATATAATTATAAATATTAATATTTTTTCTGTTGACAGGGAACTTTTTGATCCCAATCGAATCAGCTATACTAGACCAAATCGACAGCAATGAAATTCCTACAACGATTAAAGATGAATCTGATAGTTTAGACACTTTCTGTTCCACTTTTCCTCCAACTAATTGTTTCGAAAGTGAAAAACCAGATGAATTGAAAAATGACGTGGAATTATTCCAAGAACAATTTTGTCTAAAGTAAGTAACTGTATTATTTTAAATAATATTCGTATTAATAAAAACGAGATACTAATAACTGTCTTGACTACATTGATTAAAAATCGACCAAAATTATATTTTAAATCCCAGTATGATGCATTGCTGATATATTGATGTAATGATTATTATTCCAATTTACCATGATAACACTACAGTTGACTTTTATAATCTCCTTTATTTTATTATCAATTTAAAATTTATATTTTTGTATGTTGTACTTGGTATATTTAAATTAATCGATTATAAGACCGAAGAAAAACTATAAATATTTTAAATACTTTTTATAAGAAAGAATGTTTAATTCTGATGTTTTTTTACGACCATGATAAAAGTTTTCCTAAAACAATCAAAAATTAATTTTGATAATAATTCAGAAATAATTAGGTTCTAATCTTAGAATTTCTAATTATTAGAAGATCTGTTAAGTAATGTTTTGTTCTGTCTACTTCAGCCGTAGATCTTTCCGTTGCATTGAAGAGTTCGCCCGCCGTTGTTTACCGTCAATCACACATTACTATACTGTAATATCCAATGTTTTATATAGAAGTCATAAGATTCTCAAGTTGAGTCTATGTACCAATGGTCCTTACACAGACGGTAGGTTTAAAATTATTTTCATCATTATACCATAAATGTGCGATATGCATCGATCAGTAATTCCGGTCGATTTGCTGTAACTAGTAATTTATTTATTTTCTATTTTTCAATTTTTTTTTCTCCTGTCATTACAATACGAAGAGGAATTGAAGCACGCGGACTGTTTACGTTTCGGAAAGATGTTGTACAACGGTAAGTGCCCGGAAAAATTCGAAGATGGCAGTAACAACGTGACTTCAGTCCAGTGAGTATTGGTACAATATTTCATGTTGACACACATTTTTCCAAAGTAGTCATTCGCATACAATTGTCACCGATCGATACTGATATTATTGACAGTCAAATGTTTATCGTCTTACAGTGAAACATTAGAAAGATACGTGCATTGTGTCAATAACATCGCTGCGATGGCGTGCGGTATGGAGACCGGAATATTTCTCTCGGATTATACGCACGCATTCAACATACCATTGGTTAGTATTGATAACAATCAGGTACACCACGTGCCGTTAAAATGACCATATTTTATCACGGACACGTTAATATCCCGTGTTTTATCAATGTAATCCGTAGTACAGCATAAATGTTTTTTTCCAATTTCTAAAATGAGTTTCTTTTTTTACGAAAAATGTAAAAAATAGAAACAAATATTATTTAAGCATGCAGCACAGTGTTTACTGTAGTTTACATTAACCACATTAATCTATCGTTTTTACATGTACCACCACGGTGATGAAACCAACTATTACGTACCTTCTTACGTGTATTTTGAATATGAATGGAAATCATCAAAAAATAAATCTAGTATTTTTAAGGAACACTGGCAGGTTTCTTAAAAATTATTTTCTACCAATAACAACAAATTATAATCTATGGATTAGAACTTCAAATTCCCACTGAATATCCATTTAGTTGACTTGGAGACAGATTTACACGCAATGAATCAAAATGCGTTAATTAATTCATGTTATATTTAATCGTATTCATAAATACAATCTGGTCATATAAAGAACCTGGTTTAAATATCCCTGAAGAAAAAATTTAAATTTTGAAGATCATCTACTACTTTATTATATAACTGTAATATTTAATACTTAATACCATGTAATATTGATAACCCATCTTTGATGGGGTTTTATCGTTTCAGGAAAAATCCAACCTTAAGCCACTGCCCGTGATTAGATTATAATTTGGCTGAATAAAGAATTTGAAGTTCGTCGCTATCATAAGGACATTTTTTTTTTTTTATAAAATAATCATTTTAATTCATTATATTATTTTTAACAATTTTTAAGAATTTCGTACATTATATTTTTACTTACATAATATTATTTTTTTAATAAATTAATAATTAATTAATAATAATTAATAATTAATTAATAATAATTAATAATTAAT